ATCTATTTTTATTTTGTTGTTTGTGATTTTGATGTCGTATCCAAAAAAATTTTTCCTAACCCAAGATCACAAAGATTTACTCCTATATTTTCTTCTAAGAATTTCAGTTTCAGGTCTTTCATTTAGGCTTATGATCTATTTCTAGTTAATTTTTGTGTATGGTGATATGGGCTTGTGGAAGTTCTCTCTTGGTCGTTTTTCAGAGAATTAGCAAAATCTTCTGCTTAGAGTGGAGATGTGAGAAGGGGAATTGGACCTACAAGGAGAGAAGAGCTCGAAATAGTTATCTCAGAGAGTAGAGGAAAGGATGGAACAGGGAAATATAGTAAATTACTGGACTATATCAAGGGCTCAACTTAAGTTCCTGGTCATAAATTCAAAGTGGAACTGTAGGGGAGGAAAAATTTCCCTCCACCCTATTTGGGTCTCTGGCTAGGCCTAAGAATTAAACTGATATGAGACAGATTAATAAAAGAAAAGCATAAAGATTATATCAAACTTTTACATTACATAGGAACTTTCACAAGAGAATGAAGACCCAAAGAAATGACCAGACCATAATTACGTCATTATTAATTGTCCAATCCCCTTTTGCTAGGCATATATATTGTCTCCAATTTTCAGTCTTATAAACATAACTGAACGACAATCTATGTCAATCATGTTTAACATACATATCCATCACTTATATACACAGTGTTCTATCTTCATGACCTTTTCAAATCATTTAAATCTTTTAAAACAGGATTTAGGAGGAGCAAAAAAAAGCCTCATTCAGCTTCCCGGTTCTCCCCCAGTTTAAGCTCCTTGCTTCAGGTGATGCAAAAAAGTATTCACTGAGCATCTACTCAGCACTAAGAGCTTGACAGTGAATGAAGTGGATGTGGTCTCTGCCTTCCTGATGCCTGTAATCTAGAGTGAAAGGACGAGCATACCAGAATCAGGCACGTTTGGCCATTTTGCATATGTTATCTCATTCCGTTTTCAGCATAACCCTCTAACTAGATCTTGACATCTAATTGTATAGGTGAGGAAATGGGAACAGAGAGATTGGGTTCGTGGAAGAGCACAGCTAATAAATGACAGAACCGCAACTTGAAATCAGCTCCTCTCAACTCCAAAGCCAGAACTCAAGACCCCTGTGAGGGCTCTTTGCTGTACCCCAAAGACTTTTCCTGAAGCCCTTGCTCCATTCTACTTCCTACCAGGTCAACTACACCAAAGACAGTGTGAAGTGAGTGAATGCATGAGTGACAAATGGGCCATATGTTTACAACAGGACAGAACCCCAGTGTCTTCCAAAAGAACCCTGTGAGAGGGAAACGGAATTTGGAAACAAGGAACAAAAGGAGGGAAAGTGGAGATTTTAAGGTAGCTGATACTCCTAGCACACCTTGACTGAGTACTTAGATGGCCTGGTCGCTGTGCTCTACCATTTCATCCCCAGAAAAACTTTATCAGACGGGTGCCATTATTCTCCCCATCCTACAGCCCACTGAAGTCCGGTAATTTGTGTAAGTTTCCTCAGCTGATGAGTGAATGAGCCAGAGCTTTAACTAAGACACACGGCTAGTAACTAGTCCTTTAGACGGGCAGCAGAGGAGTAATTTAGGTCTTATTGTGCAATATGCACTCAGACGTAGAAGAATGAAGTTCAAGTCCCTGGTCTACCATTAACTGTGCTCTTGATCAGATCACTTAATCTCCCTGGGCCTGTTTCCTCATCTGTGAAATGAGGATCGTGGTATTTCTTGAATGCTCAGGCTTATTTTTATGCCTGCATCATACCCTGCTCAGTGTTTCATAGTCATACCTTAGTGAGTTGAGATTGCTCCAATCTCTGTTTACCATAATGGCGTTGCTCTCCCACTAGTCTGAAAACTCGGATTGATGGTTGTATACCCCACACTACCTTGCAGATACTGGAAAAACAAAAAGAAACCTGCCAACAAAAACTTGTTAAATGAGCAAATGTAAACAGAGGAGACTTCTCCTTAACAGTATACATCTGGGCAGATAAATTATGTGACTTCCCAGGCCTCAGTTTCTCCAACAAAAAAGTGAAAGCCATCATGATGGCTATATCCTTATATCCATCCTTATATCACATGGCATGAGAAAACACAGATCAAAGTATTTACTTTGGGCCCTTGAAGAAAAATGCTGATGGTGTCAAGGCATTATTATAATGTGCCACACTTACTGTGTAAAATCCTAAAGACCATCCAAGAAAGGAGAGGGAGTGAGAAGTGAAGGAAACGTTTGTGGAGCCTAACCCAGTCCCAGCCCTGTCGTAGGTGCCTCCATTGCTATTCGCTCTCATCCTCAGAACAAGCCTGAAAGGTGGGAACGATTGTCCTCCATTTTCTCCGATGGGAGATCTGCGCTCGGCAAGTGCAAGCAGCTTACCCGAGGGTCTGGTTCCAAAGCCTAATCTGTTTCTACAACACCATAGCGACTCTCGAGGGACAATTCCGCTTACATTGTTCTCCTCTAGAGAGCTGTCCCTAAAAACTCCCCTGGGTTTTTCTCAGCAAAGCCTAGAAAATTTCACCTGAGCCAGTTGTAGGAGGAATTGCGTGTCTGTACTGATTTGGGCAGAGAGCATCCTCTGAGGGCTGTCTCCATGAAGTAATAGCTACTAGAGCTCAGAGAGGGCGCCACCTGGGAGAGGCTGTAGAACAGCCGGCTGGCTAGGTCAGCCTTGTTCTTCTGGTTCCCAAACCTGACAGGACTGTTGGCTCTCGCACAGATGTCAGCTGGCTCCGTGCGTAACCACTGCCACCTGCGGAGACCTTTCAGGCCTATCTAGCCAAAACCAAATTTGTAATAAGCTAGCGATGATTCAAGGACGATGGCATTTCCTTCTCAGCCTTTATTTTCAGGAGGAAATAGTATTCTTTATGACCTGGATTCTTCTGGGCTGTATATATGAAGTACTTTTCATTACCTGGGTTTTGTGGTGTTTTGTTTTTTTTTAAAGCAGCGGTCAAGGCACAGAAACTTGCAGTCATTTAGCTACAGATTTTAGAGACTTTGGGAGTGTGGCAGGAGTTGGGAAGGGTTGAAAATGGGTTACTAAATGCATCTTCAGGCTGATTCATGAGTGGGAATACTATTTGATATTCTCCTTATACCAAGGGATGAAGCTTCACAAACTTTTGCTGATTTCTCCCTATTTCTCTGTGTTAAAGGCTGATCTCACTTTATAGGGAAACTTGAGAGGCCAATACAAGTCATCTCAAAACTGTCAAGTACCTATGTGGCTGCCTTTGAAAATTGCAAATCAAATAACGCTTGGGCAAGTTAGTGCAGTTTTCATTTCTCTCTCTCTCTCTCTCTCTCTCTCTCTCTCTCTCTCTCTCTCTTACTTTTTTCAAGATATAAGTTGTTCAACAAGATCTCTTTATTTGCCTGTGAAATCAAATGTCTCTGACTGAAGTTCTAAGCTATGGTAAACTGCTGTTAACATTGGGTTAAACTCCGCTGATAAGATATATTTGATAATTTTTTGATCTTTAAAAAGCAATCAACAGCAGGATGCCAAACTTTATGTACGATACATCATAATTGCAATCATGCCAAAAAGTCCATATCTGTTTATATGAATATGCATTAAAAAGTAACAAAGAGAATTTGAATGTTAACAGTGGTTATTTTCAGATCATGGAAACACAGACAATATTTTTACTTTCTTCTTTATACTTTTCTGTGTTTTCAAAATTCTCTATAAGAAGCATAGAATTACCTTTAAAAGCAGAAAAAAAAGTTATTTGAAAAAAGGCAAGCTACCCCTATAATAGTCGTCATCAATTATTATAAATTCCAATATTTAACAAGGAGCTTAAGATGTGAAAGACCAGAAAGTCTGTAGATTTTGAGTACAATTTTTAAGTAAGACAAAGAACACTGTAGGTCCTTATTATTTTCTTAACCAGGTGTCTAGGAGTTATTGTGTGTCTGACTCTTCTTTTATTTCATGAAACAAGCTAGAGAAAACCATATTTCTAGAAGTAATGGTGCCATAAACAAAGTCGTGGGTACTTCTAAATGTTTGTTGCCCAACCTCCGAGAAGCCAGAACAGAGGTTCTGAATGCTGAAGGCTAAAAAAGCACTGACTGAAGTGGAAACCGTGGTCTCTCTCTCAGAGTCGCGACCCAGTCCTGCAGGCTTGCTAGGAGCAGTGGGACAGACACGAGGAGAGCCGTGGGTCAGAGGCCTGAGTTCCACTCGCAACTCAGTCATTAACCAGTTGTGTGACACAGGCAGTTCATGCAACTTTCGTGAGCATCTTTACACTCGTTCATAAATGAGGTCTGCTCCCACCTCTAGGGACCTGCTTTCCCTGGCTGGAAAGTGGTGTGACTGGGGAAAGTCCAAAACTGGGGACTCCACGTTAAGGTCCAAGCGGGCCACTCCTTCCCTGGAATTGCCACTTAGGCTCAGTGTCCACACCAGGTTTCCACATCCCTCGGTTTCAGGTGTCCTCCCTTAGGAAGATGTTGCAAGGACTGACTAATACACACGAGTGTCCCAATCAGGATGATGCAGAGCGTAGGTGCTGGGAGTTCCAAATCCACAATGGGATTGCAGTGCGCTCACGCTCACGGCGTGACCTTAAAAGTCGCCTGCTCATCCCAGCACATGGGGTTATGCCTTAGCCTTCCTCTCTTTCCAAAGATCTGAACACGTTCACAATAATAGGTTGACAGTCTTAGGTGCATACAATAAAGGGAGCCCATTCTCCAGGAAGCAACCGTACTTTCTTCAACACCCTCCCAAGGAATAATTCTGATATATATATATATATATATATATATATATATATATATATATATATTTAATCTTTCCCAGAAAGCACTGGAAGCATTGTCCACAGAGAAGGAGGTACTAACATTTCCTCCTCTTCTCCAAGGAAAATGAATTCTCAAGAGTTTTCTTTTTTCTTTATTTTTTAACATTTGCACGTTAATTTCTGGGGTGTTCCAAACAGCACGGATCATGAACTCACATTGTGGTACTAGACAGTAAGTTTTAAGTCCCTCCTTTATACAGGGCAGTGGGGAGTTTCCTGGACAACAAGGGCAAGCTCACGCCCACGTCACCTGAAAGCTCTATTCCTCTGCCCAGGTGTGTTCCAAACCCTGTGAAGCTGTTGCGTCGTCTTCCATAGGTCAGTCGGGTCTCTCTGTGACTCCGCTGAGACCCCTAACCCCTGTCACTGTGGGGTGGGGAGACGCAGGGTGGCAGCAGCCGAGGGCGGGTGTCCCAGTCCCGAGAACTTCACCTCTCCCGCTACTCTCGGTCATCTTTTTGTCCCGTCTGCTTTGCAACGTTGTAGGGCTGGAGACGCCGTCGGATCTCCCCAGCACTGCGCCAGGACCGGGGCTCCGTGGGGAGGGGTTTTGGGGTCTTTGCCAAAACTGGAGGGGCGGCGTTCGCTTTCCGCTGTCCTCCCGGACTGCCCGGGGCCCCCAGTCCGGCGACGGCGGGAGGCGGGCGGCCCGGTATGCAAATACCTGGCTGGCGGGGGCCACCCCCCTCCTCCCCCTACTGCTCGGATAAAAGTTCTGGGCGGGGCGCCGCGCAGAAGCCGCTGCCTCCCGGGAGCCGGCCGTGCGCTCCGGCCCCGCGCCCGCCCGCAGCCTGCTCGCGCGGCCCCCCGGCTCCGGGTAAGGACGCGCGGGATCGGGGACCCGAGGCGGCTGGGGGAGACGCGCGCGCCGCGACCAGGGGTCCAGCGCGAGCCGCCCGCGTCCTCTTGGTCCCTCAGGCGCTGTCCTGGTCTGCGCTTTCTCTGTGGGAACCAGAGAACCGGCGCCTCCGCTGCGCCCTCCCCGGGGCCAGGCAGGTGTCATCTCCCCAGGTTGTGCGCAAGACCAGTTTGTCCCTAGGCTATAAAACAGAAAGGAACTGCGTTCGGTGCATGCGGGGTTAGGAGGGACTAAGATTATTTTAGAGTGGAGTGAAATGAGAGTCAAAAAGAAAAGCTTCCATGATGGGTCTCTGGCTGTGACCCTGGGTTTTTTTCTAGCCATCCGGAGACACTTTGGAGGAGGCAATGGGGAGGGAGAAACAGGCCAAGGGGAGAAAGGTGTGGGTGTGTGTACACGTTTGAATGGGCAGAATTAATCGGCTTTAGAGACTGCAGATGCTGGACAGAAAGGCTGGACAGAAACTGCTGGCCAGGCCCAGCAAGTTACCCACTCTGGAGAGTGGACCCCTAGTCTTGTGGAAAAGCGACTTTAGTAGTCCCTTTTTTCAAACCACTTTATTTTTTTTCCTTCTTACTTTAAAAAAAGAGGATTCTTCTGAAGACTATTTTTAAACCTAGCTCCCACCTCAAGGTCCATAAGTTAAGATTTGGGGTTTGCCCAGGCGGCCTATTATGGAAATACCCCCCTTGTCTCACTCCTGCCTTCGCTCCATCCTGCATCCCAGAAGATGCAATGTGGGAGGGAGAAAAATACCATTCCAGAAGGTGCCCAAGCCCAGCATACTGTTCCCCCCACGCCCTACCCCCATTTTATGATGTGGGGTGTGGGTCCCTCACTGGAGTGGGGAGAGTGGAAGCAGGCTCTCTCCTCCTCCCCATCTCTTCCCCAAAATCACTCAGAACCACCCAGGGAAGGAAGACCTTTAGGAGTCTTTGTGAAGACCTGAGGGCTTTTCTGGTGGAGCTAACATTACAGATCAGCTTGGTGCAAATGGGTGTCCTTAGAACTATGGAATCTGAACTGGAAGGTCAAAGGGTCAAAGACTGGGAACTGGGGAAAGTGACAGATCCTGGAGAGGATTAATTCCGAGGGAAGGGAGTGGTGAAGAGGTAGAGATATTTGACACCTTTCCTGTTTCTGTTTGTGTGTGTGGCTGTGGTTCTGGTCAGTAACTGGATAAAAGAAGGCTGGAAACATGTCGGAGTTTTGGTTAATTTCTGCCCCTGGCGATAAGGAAAATTTAAAAGCTATGGAGAAGATGAACACAGTGACCTCCAAGTCCAACCTGTCTAATAACACCAAATTCGCGATTCCTGACTTCAAGGTAAAGTTCCTGGGGAGGAGAAAGAAGGGGACAGGTTGGGTGGGGGTGGTGTCTTCTGGGAAGCCAAGGAGAAAATAACAGGGCAAAGGTAGCAACACTGGGTGACAGTCAGCCTGGGGATGACGATGGTCACAGGGGGTCAGTGGTCTGGGTGGGGCTTCACGCCACAGCCCCAAATTAACCGTGGTCCCTATGGACTTAGAGCCACAAGACAGAATGAACAGGAAGAGAAGGGTGCGGGTAGCAGTGTCTTCAAAAAGTGGGAAGAGCATCTTACACACTTGGGTCCTTGTGAGCTTCTTGGATTCTTCCTGTTTTGTTTTCAACATCTAAGAAGACCAACAATATAGTTTACATGTGCAGGCTGGGAGCGCTTCAGCCTTGATTGCGCTTTTGAACTGGGAGCAGGGCAGGAAATCCAGGATCCTTTTGGTTCTGACCGAGAGGAAGGAAAGGAACTTAGTGATAACTGGGTAGATGGCAGAAAGAGATTTGACAGTGCATGAGTGTCTAAGGGCTCTTGCAGTGGAGAACAAAGTAAAAATGAAACAAACATGAAAGAGGAGCCAGACAGGTACAATCTTCTTACTTCAAAGAGAATGGACTTCTTGCTGTGCTTCCTAAGATTGTAGGTGTCCAAGGGGAGGAAGCATTGTGGGGGCTGGAGGGATGGCACTAACCACCCAGAGGTAGCTCGTTTAGCAAATTGACATAGAAACCTCTCCCAAACTTCAGTTTGCCCCTCTGCCTAAAGAGCTGCACCGTCAGCTGCCCCCGCTGTTGGTGGTGCTAGTACAATTGCTAGCGTTTATCAAGCACTATGCTGATGGTCAGGCACTTTAAAGGCATCATCTCAAATCTTTGTCAAGTCCCATATTATAGATCAGGGTGGCCTGAGAAAGGAGACCAGGGTTGTAGAACCCTGTTAGTGGCAGCTCTGGGTTCTGAACCCATATCTTGCTGACTTTTCACACCGGCCACTGTCCAGTGACGGATGCCATGACAGTGAGTAAATTCAGCATCCACTTACCGTGTACTCTGTGTGAGGCAGTGCGCTAGACTGGAGGGTACAAAGATACAAAAGACAGGGCCCCTGCCCAAAGTTGCTGAAAATCAAGTTGCTTAAAAGGAAGCAACTTTACCTACTAGAGATATCCCAGTTTCCTAATTTCCTAATTTCTTTTTAATGTCTAACTGGTGGGTAGTAACATGATGACAAAGTTTTTCCTTCTGATTCTGAGAGTAGACCTTTAAATACAGTTTTGGACTCTGTAATGATTTCCACACTAAGAAACAGATCCTTGTAAGTGATCTGAAAAGGACTTCCATGAATGGTGAAATGGGAGAGAAAAAAAAAAAGCTGTCCTCTGCCCCAGCAAGGTTATCGTTAGTGACTTCAAAGAAGAGCAGAGAAAGGATAGGCTGGACTCTCTTGGAGAAGAAAGGCTTTCAGAAATAACTCCCTTAACTTACTTTCTGGTATATCTCCTCGGCTGTAGGGATAAATCCATGATGAGCAGACCACCATTCCAAGAGAAAAATGATCTGCGGGCAGACCACGACATAGTAGCCACTTCCTCCAAAGACAGGACTATGACAGCTTATCCTCTCGGCACACAAACACAAAAATCCCAAATCCACTGGTTTCCCTTAAGAGCTCTTCCCAGGTTTCCAGTTTGGCTATTGACCAAGGGCAACTAACTCAAGATGGAAGCCCCAGAATTCCTTGTACTGTTGTTGAAAAGGCACCCATACTTCTCTGCCATGAGACTTCTGAGCCTCTAACTTCTTAATGATCTTTCTAGGTGGGGACCTTGGATTCTCTTGTTGGCCTCTCTGATGAGTTGGGGAAACTCGATACCTTTGCTGAAAGGTAAAATATTTCTTATTTACTACATACAAGTGAGAATTTGACATTGTTGTCAGGTGACACAGTGCTCTTGCTTTGGCAGAGCACGTACTTGTCTAAACTCGGTCCTAGAAGTCACGGAAAGAGCCAGAGTTGATCCCTGTAAGGGCGCCGAGTAAACAGGAGAATGCGGGGTCCACTGCCTAGTTTTATTTGCTGGAGGCAGCATTTTTCCAAACCAAGAGGGCTATTGCATAAGGTGTGGAAACACTTTGAAAACTAATTGGTGCAGTTTCCCTCCAAGGCTTTTTGTTTGCTTTTGTTTTTGTAGTAACAGATGCACATCGTAAAAAAATTCGAAGTACAAAAGGAAGGCTCTCCAAGTGAAAATTCCTCTGATCTGTTTTCACACACTTACCTGTTCCCTCATTTCTCCTTTTTTGAGGCAACATTATTATCATTTTCTAGGAGAGCCTTCCAGAGACTGCCCGTACATATATACAAGTAAAGATGAATATGTTCTTAAAAATCATTTTGTACAAACGATAACGTGTATTCTGCACCTTGCTTTTTTCACTTCATCACATATCTTAGAGACAGTTTCATGTCAGTCCATAAGAGCACGTTCTTCTTACTGTCTGCATTACCGTGAACAGATGTTGCCTTCGTTTATTTGAATTTCCCTATTGGTGGACAATTAAGTTTTCTAGTCTTTTGCTATTGCAAACAATCTGTAATTACAGCCCTTGTCCTTACTTCTTTGTGCATATGTAGGAGTGGGATTAAAAGTTGAAATGCTAGGTTAAAGAATATTTGCATGTGAAGTGTTATAGATCTGTCCACATACCCTCCCAGAAGCTGGCCTTATTTACGCTCCTACCCAAAATGTGTGAAGATATTTTAGAGTCTGAAAATTATTATTTTTTTAATTATTACAAATCTGGTACAAAATCATTGCAAATATTTATAGATCATAGAAAAGCATGGAAAAGAAAATACAAATTTCCCATAATTGTGCCACCCACACAGAGATAACCGCTTGATATATTTGTAGTGTGTACATCCAACTTTCCTACACATAAATATTATTTATGCATACATATATTAATAAAGGTGATAGCATGTTATGCATGTTTCATAACTTGCTTTTCCCTTCATGTCTTGTTCTTTCCATTTCGCCGTTAACTTTTCCACTGTAATATTTGGCCATAAGGATTTGCCATCATTTATTAGGCAGTTTTAAAATAATAATAATAACCCCTCATTTTGGTGAAAATGAAAATCTGTTGTATAACGAGTGATTTTGAAAGAATGCCGATGGGATAGATCAGGCAGCCTTCAAGGGTCAGACCATACTCCTGCTGAAATGACCCAGGTTTGCCGACTTGATCTGGCTGCCTTCGTAGAGGGTTTTCAATTTTCAAGGCCTGTGGACATGTGCTATTTTTTCTTGTCAGTGTAATGGTGATACGACTGTTACTACCTTTTTAAATGCATTTTTATGGAAAAAATGGATAATTAAAAATTCTACTGGTTATAATTTGAGGATTTCTGACCCGCAGATGGGCACCAGGGGCCAGGAATTAGATTTTCTGTGTGCAGTGGCCTAAGACTAAAAAAGCATCCTTTGTTAGTAATATTTTGCTCTATGTGGGTTGTTGGGCTAACTCCGTAAAGGCAGTCCTCGTCACCAGGTAGTTTGCAGCTCACAGTCTGAGGAAGTAAACTAACCTATGGCTTTCTCATTTGTAAAACGGGATAATAGTGATCATCTCTGCGCTTTCGGGGAAGAATGAAGGGGGGTAAAATCATCTTAAATCAAGTATTATCACAGGACATGTTCTGTGAAAAATTAATGTCCAGGAAAAAGCGGCTTGATCCCTAAATATCAACTTGTTTCGTGGGCTGCTCTGCACCATGGGGAGGTGGGTCTGACAGACACCGTGGAAGCCACCCCTCTGCCCTAGGCTGGCGATGGCCTTCAGTGTTCTTGGCAGCCCCAACAAACCACAGCATGAGGCTGTGCAGTGAGGTGGGGCCACATTGGCGTAAGAAGTGTGAATTGTTCCTAGGCCTGCTGCAGAAATGACAGCTACATGGCATTTTATCTTTCCAGACCTTTCTTTGCTACCAACTTTCTTCCCTAGTACAAGTCCTTTAACCGCTTTCTTATCCACCAAAGTCTCTAGCTCTAAACTCTATGATCCTGGATTATTACTTCCGCTTTTGTTTCTTTTGTTTGTATTTTTCAATAAGCATTAGTGTTTTGTTCTCTACCTGTTTGTTGCACAATTTGCTTGTGATGGTGGAATAGTATCTGTTTGAGAAATAATGTATGTGACAGTGTGTGAGCAAGCAAGTTAAGGCTATCATTATGAAACAGATATGACCTATTTGAATTAAAGTGTTTTGTTTTGTTTTTTTAAAAAAATAGGCTAGGTGTAGTAAGAATGAAAATTACTGTATATTGTTTCATTTTCCCTTGTGTGTATATTCTCGAGAGCCTTCTTATGGGGGTGGGGTGAGAAAAATGGTGCGACCTGAGAACCCCACAATTCTTATTTCTAGCGTTTATCTATCTAGTTCAGGAGGCAGGGTACCTTGTCTTAGGAGTTAATACTGGAGCTTGGGGTAAAATAATGGGATATGCTAATAACATCAGGAGACCGGTTTCAGGTTTTTGAAATGCCCTACCTGATGCTCTGGAAAGTACCCAAGTGTTATTAGATAAATAAATGCTAGCTGACTATGTAACCCAGGCAGCATAAACCTGTCAGCACTGCTTCTGGCCAGGAGAACAGAGACGGGACAAGAGTTTTCAAGGTGTATTGTTTCCGTATCCTTTTATTATTTATTTACTCAGGGCACTAGAGCGTTTTTCCATGTTAGCTGGAAGGCAGGGTTTGCTTACTGGAGACTTCTCTTTATTTTTGATTTATTCCCCCCATGCTGTCTTTGTTAATTTAGTCTGTATTTACACCGTAATATCTGAGAAAACAAATGACTTTCTCTTTTAAAAAGGCAACACCTGTTTTTTTCAGTGTACTGTGCCCTTCACAGTATCTTAGCCAGTTTCTCGGTGCTGGTTGAAATATTACCAGGCTCTCAGGTATACCTCATGGGCATCTATGGTACATTGGTGACTGTCACTTGTGCCGGAGTGCATTCCCTGGCTTGTGGAATAGTTGGTGGCTTTTCTTTACCCATGTGGTTCCATGCAGTTGACTGAGGGTTGGCTGATCAAAGATTACACAGCTGCGTGTGGATGTCTGCTCAGGCACGCAGATCTTAGGGAGTTCGTTCTCCTAAGAGCGTTCTAAAGATAAGTAAAGTGTAATTTATAAATATTACCCAAACTTCTCTGTTCCTGCAAGAAGATCAGATAGAGGTTATCCACATGACATTTCTGCAATTAATTAGACCAGTATCAATTGAATGCCTGTGTATGCTGTGTGGTTTCTTGATTCCTCAAAGCTGCTTTGCAATCCTACTGTGTGTTCGCTGTTCTCCTGCTCTCTCTAAAGACTGCTTCAGACCTTCATCATGCCCCATTTATCCCCATTATCATCTGCTCCCCCAGCCTCTCCTCCCACCCCATGCCTTCACATCTCCTGGTTAACCCTCTCTGATACAGCTGAGTATGACCCTTTCTTCACAGTGCTCACCACAGTGGGCTTTTACATTCTCTTATGGGATTATTTAGCTGTCTCCCCAACCAACCTGTAAGGTCCAAAGGCCAGCCTTTTGCACAATTAGATCCCAGAACCTATAACATCATAGGCCCTCAATGACCGGCAGAATGAATGGATGGAAGAAAGATTCCTGGAATGTTACAGCTTCACAGGCCTTTAGAGATTTAATCTAACCCCTTCATGTTCCAAATGAAGAAACATGCCCAGCAAGAAGCTCCTAGAAAGAGCTGGATGGACTGGTAGTGGCAGAGGAGGTATAGACCCTTGATCCAGATTCACCAATTTGCCTATTAATGGTCTGTCTGTCTGCTTGCATCTCCCTGTCTCTAAGTGGTTCCCACCAGCCCAGCAGGACTTGGGGTCCTGAGCTTTATACGAACTAACCAGCAAATGGCCTCTTTCTCCTTCCTTTTACCCTCTACCATCAATCATTATTTATATTGATTATAAATAATCACATATTATTTATAACACTTAATAGTGTTTTTAAATACAGACATTTGAAAATGTCTTACTCATTGCTCAGATAGTTACTGTTGACATTTTCATAAAAGTAATATATTTACACATTAAAAAATATCAAATGGTATGAAAAGGTACAAAAAAGGAAATAGTTCCACTTTACTCCCAATTCCTTTCCCTAACGGAAACCATTATTAGGGTTCATGTGTTTCCTTCTCTGGTAAAACAAAAGATACACGTACACTCATGTACATTCATGATGCAGTTCAAATATTTACCTTATTTTGAGAACTCCACTAAGCACAGGTTTGGTTTGGTTGTGTTTGTTTTGTTTTGTTTTTAAATATATATCCTAAGTATCTAGGGCAGAATTTGGCACATGGTTGGAGCAAAGATCCTATTGATAGTTCATTTGGGATTACACTGAAATTAGGGGAAATTGACATCTTTATAATTTTGAGTGTTTTCACGCGCACAGCTCATCTTTCAATTGACTTAATTTTTTTCTTTGTTCCTCTACTAGAGCCTTAATGTTTTATTTACTAAAAGTCCTGCACAATATCTTACTGATTTTTCCCTAACTTTACATTTTTTGATTTTGTTGCTACGATAAATGAGATATTTTCTTCAAATGCTTTTTGTTTGTAAATAGGAATTACCGTGTATTAACTTCATGACCTGCCAACTTGCTGACTTTCCTTATTGCTTCTAATGGTGCTTCAGCTTATATTCTAAGGTATTCTAGGCATGTGATTATATTGTCTACAAGCAATACTTTCTCTCTATTTTCTCTCATTTCTTTCCCTTGCTTAATTGTATCAGTTAATATTCCCTCCAAAAAATGTTTAATTTGTCAGTGGTGGTAGTGGA